GTAATGGGGACAAGACCATGACAAAGAGAACGGAATGTAACTGGAAGAAAATTAAACTGTATTTACCCACTATGAGCTGCATATACAACCTCCAAATCATTTAAAATCTAAAACTATTAAACATGTCAGCCTGATCTGATTATAGAAGACGTGACTGACTAAATTCTAAATAATTCTCTGACTGGATGTGTTACATGAAAAGTTAAGTGGAGAGATGTAGAGAGAAGTATAATGCAGGCACGCACACACACACACACACACACACACACACACATCTGAAGTATAAAGATAACATAAAAATTTTTGTTTAGGGTTATAGCCAGTGTCCAATTTCATAATGGATTATATAGGATCGACTAGCAGCAAATCTTCACTTGCAGAACAAACATCTCAATGATTCAAGAGGGTAGGAAGTATAGCTTTCTGACGTACAGGTGTCTTGCCTCTCTGTTAGATGATTAGCACAGAGAAGAAAGGTTTTAGTTAAACTGTTTCCTGCATTGGAAGTTAGCTTGAAAGGAGCTGAACACATGAAAAAACAATCTGAAGAATTAAAATAGGGCAGGGGTCAGCAAACTATGACCTGCAGGAAAAATGTGACCAGCTGTCTGATTCTGTCAATAAAGTTTTATTGAAACATAGATGATGTTGCCAATGGTTGCTTTTAAACAACAAGAGCAGAGCTGAGTAGTTGTGACAAAAGCCATATAGTCCTCCACCCCAATTTTTGCTACCTGGGTTATTATGGATTTTGCCAATATACAGATGAAGGAATTGTTCTTATTCAATGATTCTGTGAGGAAATTCACAAAAGATCTGATAAATCTCACACTTAAATTATCTTTCCTTACATGGAATTTCCTTGAATATCTAATGTAATAGGCTTAGATACAGTATAGTTTGATTTAGGAAGCTGAAACTATGAATAGACCAATAACAAGGTCTGAAGCCGAGGCAGCAATTAAGAGCCTACCACACAAAAAAAGCCCAGGTCCAGACGGGTTCACAGCCGAATTCTACCAGACACACAAAGAGGAGCTGGTACCATTCCTTCTGAAACTATTACAAATAATCCAAAAAGAGGGAATCCTTCCCAAATCATTTTATGAGACCAACATCATCCTGATACCAAAACCTGGCAGAGACCCAACAAGAAAAGAAAACTTCAGGCCAATATCCATGATGAACATAGATGCAAAAATCTTCAATAAAATACTGGCAAGCTGATTGCAACAGCAAATCAAAAAATTTATCCATCATGATCAAGTAGGATTCATCCTGGGGATGCAAGGCTGGTTCAACATATGCAAGTCTATAAGCGTAATTCACCACATAAACAGAACCAAAAACAAAAACCACATGATTATCTCAATTGACGCAGAGAAGGCCTTTGACAAAATTCAACAGCCCTTTATGCTAAAAACCCTCAATAAACTCGGTATCGATGGAATGTATCTCAAAGTAATGAAAGCTATTTACAACAAACCAACACCAATATCATACTGAATGGGCAAAAACTGGAAGCATTACCTTTGAAATCTGACACTAGACAAGGATGCCCTCTTTCACCACTCCTATTCAATATAGTACTGGAAGTTCTAGCCAGAGCAATCAGGCAAGAAAAAGAAATAAAGGGTATTCAAATAGGAAAGGTGGAAGCCAAATTGTCTCTATTTGCAGACGACATGATAGTATACCTAGAAGACCCCATTGTCTCAGCCCAAAAACTCCTGAAACTGATAAGCAACTTCAGCAAAGTCTCAGGATATAAAATCGATTTGCAAAAATCACAAGCATTTTTCTACACCAATAACAGACTTAAAGAAAGCCAAATCAAGAACAAACTGCCATTCACAATTGCTACAAAAAGAATAAAATACCTAGGAATACAACTCACAAGGAACGTAAGGGACCTCTTCAAGGAAAACTACAAACCACTGCTCAACGAAATCAGAGAGGACACAAACAGATGGAGAAACTTTCCATGTTCATGGTTAGGAAGAATTAATATTGTGAAAATGGCTATACTGCCCAAAGTAATTTACAGAATCAACGCTATCCCCATCAAGCTACCATCGACTTTCTTCACAGAACTGGAAAAAACCACCATGAACTTCATATGGAACCAAAAGAGAGCCTGCATAGCCAAGTCAATTCTAAGCAAAAAGAACACAGCAGGGGGCATCATATTACTGGATTTCAAACTATACTACAAGGCTACAGTAATCAAAACATCATGGTACTGGTACCAAAACAGAGATATAGACCAATGGAACAAAACAGAGGCATTGGAGACAACACAACATATCTACAACCATAGATTCTTTGATAAACCTGACAAAAACAAGCAATGGGGAAAGGATTCCCTGTTTAATAAACGGTGTTGGGAAAACTGGCTAGCCATGAGCAGAAAGCAGAAACTGGACTCCTTCCTGACACCTTACAGTAAAATTAACTCCAGATGGATTAAAGACTTAAACATAAGACCTGGCACCATAAAAACCCTAGAAGAAAATCTAGGCAAAACCATCCAGGACATAGGAGTACGCAAGGACTTCATGAACAAAACACCAAAAGCATTGGCAACAAAAGCCAAAATAGACAAATGGGACCTAATGAAACTCCACAGCTTCTGCACGGCAAAGGAAACAGTCACTAGAGTGAATCGGCAACCAGCAGAATGGGAAAAAATTTTTGCAGTTCACCCATCTGACAAAGGGCTGATATCCAGAATTTACAAAGAACTCAAACAGATTTACAGGAAAAAAACAAACAAGCCCATTCAAAATTGGGCAAAGGATATGAACAGACACTTTATAAAAGAAGGCATATATGAGGCCAACAATCATATGAAAAAATGCTCATCATCACTGGTCATTAGAGAGATGCAAATCAAAACCACATTGAGATACCATCTCATGCCAGTTAGAATGGCGATCATTAAAAAATCTGGAGACAACAGATGCTGGAGAGGCTGTGGAGAAAAAGGAACACTTTTACACCATTGGTGGGAGTGTAAATTAGTTCCACCATTGTGGAAGACAGTGTGGCGATTCCTCAAGGCCTTAGAAATAGAAATTCTGTTTGACCCAGCAATCTCATTCCTGGGTATATATCCAAAGAACTATAAATCGTTCTACTATAAGGACACATGCACACGAATGTTCATTGCAGCACTGTTTACAATAGCAAAGACCTGGAACCAACCCAAATGCCTATCGATGATAGACTGGATTGGGAAAATGTGGCACATATACACCATGGAATATTATGCAGCAATCAGAAATGATTGAGTTCGTGTCGCTTGTAGGGACATGGATGAATCTGGAGAACATCATTCTCAGCAAACTGACACAAGAACAGAAAATCAAATACAGCATATTCTCACTCATAGGTGGGTGATGAAAAATGAGAACATATGGACACAGGGACGGGAGTACTAAACAAGGGGGTCTATTGGGGGGAAAAGGGGAGGGCCAGCAGGAGGGGGAGCTGGGGAGGGATAGCCTGGGGAGAAATGCCAAATGTGGGTGAAGGGGAGAAACGAAGCAAAATACACTGCCATGTGTGTACCTATGCAACTGTCTTGCATGTTCTGCACATGTACCCCAAAACCTAAAATGCAATAAAAAATTAAAAAAAAAAAGAGAAGCCAGCATCTATTTGAAACATGTAATATTTATGTTATTTAAAATATAGGGGTACTTTAATTGATCAGCAGTCTAATGGGACACAGAGGGCTTATAACTATTTACAAATGATATCTCTTTATTTTTGCAGTTAGAGATACCTCTGTGTATTTATCTTATATTTTTGTATCTATTCAGTGTCCGTGTGACACTATACATTAGAGACTATGCTAGAAGATTGCATGTGGCAAATGAGCTCAATTCAACTTGACTGTGAATCTGGAAATGACTGACTGTGGAGCCAAAATTGGGGCTTCTCCAAACAAAAATGATGGGTAAAAGTATTCAAGACAAGTGCTCCTGAGGGACATACTCAAAGGCAAGAAGCACACCGATTTTACTTATGTGTATATCTCCAGTGCCAAGAAGGTCTTGACACCTAATAACAGCTCAGTAATGGTTTGATTATTGTTAAAAAACAATTTAGCACTAAAGCTAATCTGTAATCCTTGACTATCTATAATTATTGTTAAACAGAATGCAGCTGGAGAAAACAAAGTAAGATCTTAATGAACAATGTGAAGTCATTCGTTTTTCAAACTCTGTATTTCTTGGGTAGTGTTTCCCAGGAATATGTAGGCTTTGTTATTCACCCAAATAACTTTAGGAACATTATACAATAGGTAAGAATTAAAAAAAATTGTCCATGGGAAGAACGAGTTCTAGAAAAATTAATCACATATTTAACTTTGAAAATTATGAATATGACTTATTTTCCATGAAAAATATGTATATGTAATTTAATTCCAAATGGTTTCTTAATTCTGAATAAAAGGATGCATGGGGCGGATAATTCACACCACGACAAATTATTACAATGTAACCTCCAATAGGTAACAGAGAAGTCCAATGTACTGAAAGAATACTGTTGATTTGGAATGACGTCCTAAAAAAAAATTCTAAATTTTATATTATTTTTCAAGTACAAAATACGGCTGATTCATTTAATTGACTTTGAAATCTGTTTTAATAGAACATCTCGTTTGCACAACCAGTCAGCTCCTAACATTTTGATTGCAAAATGAAAGGCATTTACTTTGATATCTTTAATTATCAGTCATTTAGAGGACAGTGTGAAACACACTTTTTCAATTGGTGTTTTAGAATCGTTGAGTCAAAGGAAGGGAATGACAAATTAGCCAGCTGGAGAGGAAAGAAACAGCCAGCTAGTGCTGCTAGTCTTGGTGGATACTTCAAAGTAAGATGAAAGGGAAATGAAGGGGCTGTTAGCCACACATACTCAATAAATAAAATACTAACATAATTTCACAGCATATTAATAACAAGTTAATATCACACTTAGAGACTTACTCAACATAATAAGTGCCATAAATGGGATCATCGATTTTTTCCCAGCCATATGGAAGCTCTGAAAAATAAAGAGTTATTTCTTTCGGTTAATAAAGAACAGATATCACATTTTCTAATAAAAAGTAATATAATTTAATTGTTCATGGATTGCAGAAATGGTCTACCAAAGTGGAACAAAGCATTCAGAGTCAGCAAGAAATTTCAGAACATATCACAGAAACTATAAGAGGCACTGACTTGAAAATTGGCAGTTAAAATACAGAGCTCTCTTCTCTGCAGATTTGCTGCTGGGTCTAGCCATTTATCTCATGAGAAATAGTAAGATGGCATGTCATCACGTTATCACCATTTAGTGCAATATAGAATGCAAATCACTTTCCTGAAAGTGCATATGGTTCTCTTATTTATTTGTATTGCTAAAGGAGCATTTCAGGACAAAGACCACATTTTCAAAATATATTTCTGAGTATAGCAAATTGTTTCTGATGACTAAAACAAAGCCATTATAAATTCTCAATTGATATCCCACAATTTGAGATGGTTAGCTTGCTCTTACTCCACATAGGTCAGAATTTGAACGCTGCCAATGTACTCTTTGGGCATATTTAAAACTAAGCTCTAAAATTGTGAACATACTTTCCTTAATAATATAGTTCATATTTTCAAATCTCCATGGCTAATTTTAATTCACACACACATATTTTAAAATATCAGCAATACTATAAATCCTATTATAGGTAAACACATGCTGTCTGAAAACTAGACTTTGCTTCATAATACTGTTTTCCAAATATGCCAAGGCTTTATAATTATTAACTCCTTCAAATATAAAGAATATTGTATTTTCTTGATAGATATGAATTTTTACATATATAGAATTTGAAACCTAAGATGTATTGACATGTTTAAATAATGTATTTCGGTGAAGCTTAAAAGTTTTATTATTATTATAGTAATAATACATATTACTCTTGACAAAGCACAGTTATCAAAAGAAAACTGGAATTATCTACAACCCTGCCACCCAGAAATAACCACTTTTAACATTTTGGTGAATATCCTTCAAATAATGTTCTATGCATATATGTGCAAATGCTTTTAAAAGAGATTACATCATATGGTGCATATTACTTTTATAGCCTGATATTTCTACTTAATAGAATATCAAGGATGTCATTCAATGTGAATGTGTGTTACTGCACAATATCATGTGTAAGATGGCAACAGCAGTAGTCTGCAGCGTGGCTAGAAACTGTAATTCTATCATTTTTCTATTATTGAATGTTTGGGACTTTCCAGTTTTTACTTGTTCTGTGTCATCTGTATTGGACCCGCTAAAATGTAAATCTTTTATCATTTTTCTATAATATAGTATGGGCAAATTCCTAGATGTGAAATTTTGGATCAAAGGGTATGCATTTTTTTATTGTTTTTGACATATATTGCCAGATTTCCACCTTCCCACTCACTTAAAAGTACTAATTTATAATCTCACTGAGAATGTATGAGTGATTTTGTTTCTCTGTATCATCAAATTAAACAGAGATCCACAATTCCTCATCCAAAACTTTTAGGAACATATACATTTTAGAATTTAGATTTTTTGCAATTTAAAAAGTTAACAGTGCAAATGCCTTCTCTTTCATAACACTCTAAGTAGAGTTGGGAAAAGCAGTTTATAATCTAACATATGAGTATTTCTGCAGCCAAAGATATGATTCATACTAGGAAGGATACCTTAATAAACTTACAGCACCAAATTTTTGAGCACCTTAAGAAATCTTTCTTTCAGAAGGATAGTAAGAGTAAAACTTTACTGAGTATTGTCTGTGGTTTGAATACCGACAGATTTTCTAGGTACTAAATCATTTTATCATGCCAACAACTCAGGACTCAAAAACCTTGTACTCTAGTTCCAGTAAGCTTAACTAATTTAAATATCAATTCAGAAACTCTATCACAGCATAAACACCACTTAATTTAGGTTAAGGAGAGTAACTATCCAGATGGTTTTCACCAAATCCCCCAAGCTACTGGCAAATTCATCTAGTAAAAAGGAACTCATTTGACAAGTATCTACTGAGTGCCTTTTATAAACAGCTCATCCAAAACCTTTTTGATAAGCAGCTCAACCTAAAGTAAAATAATATACAGAGGTCAGCAATTAATATTATGCATATTTATTATTCATTTATTAATATGGTTCAATACAGGGATATGTATTTATAAGAGGTTTAATATCTTATAAATGCAATAATATATAAAACAATCATGTTCAATAAATATAAAGAGTAAAAGCCTAACATAGTTAACTTACAAATACAGTCCTACTTCTTAATGCCAATGCCATATGGAAGCACTTCATGGTCAGTTTGTACAATTATCTTTTATAAAGTAAATGATTCCTTCAGTTTATTTACTAGTTCTAAGCAATGTATCTCAGAAAGGCAGAGTTCAATGATTCTTTATCTTTGTCAGATTTACAATGCCAAATTTCCTGGGTACAATTTATTATATATTATACTTTCCCACTTGCCATCAACCAGTCCTCATCCATATTTAGGGGAGAATCTGCTTTATTTTTCATAATATATCAATATATTTTGTTTGTTTGTTTCATATTTCCAAAGTAAACTATTATTGCATGCTAAAACAAAATTATATATTATAAACATTTGTATTTTAAGAACTGTTAGGGGTCCTAGACTCACTTTGAGGCAAAATTATACACTAGTTCTAACCTTATGTTACGAAGAGCATCATTTGTTTCATTTTGAATATTTTCAAGGAACTGATGGAAGAACCTCACAAGAAGCCAACAACAGATACATACATTGCTTCATTTGTAGCAGAATGGTTGTAAAAATATACAACTAATGTTTTAAAAGGTACTTGTATATGTGTATGTATGTGTATATATTAATGTGTACCTGTATGTGTTGGCATGTGTGTGTTTGTGTGTATTCCTCGGATATTTTGCTTCAAAAACAAAGAAACATTTAAGCTAGAATGTTAATGAAAAATCACAATGTTCACAAGTTTTTCTTCACTTGTAAAAAAAGACAAGTCATAAACGTTTTAACTTTATATACTGAAGAGTACACATTTAGATGATGAAAAACTAAGAAAGTTAAGAATTATCTTTCACTGTGAAAATTAAGCTATTTGGACTTGGATTAGTTTTAGAAAAACAACTGCTGCTTCTTTAAATTAAGCTAACAGATGAGAAAAAGAATTTCCAACATTGTACTATTTGCCTAATCAGACAAGCATGTACCTTGGAGCTCTTGGGTCCTAGGTTATTTAGAATACTGTATTCAACAATACCTGACAAATCTGTGGATGATTAAGGTCACACTGATGAAAGAATAATATACACTATGTAACAGGAAAAAGTAAATACTTGAGATCAGCAAGGTTAATGCTGTATTAAGAACTGTTTTAATTGAGATTTTCTTCAGGCCATGGAACCATGGAGCAAATTCAGTGATGAAATATTCCTACCCTGAACAACGTCTAGATTAATTTGCAGTCAATCATATCAGCTTTGTAAAACTGGAATAAAAACAAAAGACTAAACAGGCACTCAGCTTTGCCTGGATTCTGCCACAGTTAACGTGCTATATATTTTTAATTTAATTGTGATTCACAAATATTATTTTATTTACTTACATTTTAGTCAGGTACACTTTCATGACAGAAAACAGAGACAGATTTATGCTAGCTCAATTTTTAGGCTACAAATGGGAAACTTGTAGAAATCCAAGGACAACAGTTTTTTATTTCTTTTATTTCTTTTTTTTGTGTGTGTGTGTGACAGGGTCTTACTATGTTGCCCAGGCTGACCTCAAATTCCTGTGTTCAAGCAATCCTCCCACCTCAGCCTTCTGCATAGCACAGACTACAGGCATGTGTCGCTGGCTGCAAAGACAGTATTTTTTAAGGAAATGGAATCCACATCCTAGAAAGCTGCAAGGAACCTATCATAAATATCTCAAGATATCTCACAAGGATCCTTTTGGTCTCTTTGATTGTCTGTCTTTTGAACTACAGTATGTCTTTTATTTTGGTGCATCTGTGTCTTTCTCTTGGCTCCTTTCACTCTGGGCATATTGTTCCTTGTCTTCAAGTGACTGGCTACTTCTATTTGCTCATCTTGCATGTGTCCTAGAATAGCCACCTCATACCTGGCTATATGTTGCTTTTTATCTCAAGAGCTGCTATCAATACTTTATTGTCTCAGTTTCCTAGTTCAGTATCCCATCTCCACAAAGAATTCATTGGCCCAGTTGATTTTCTTCAAAATAGTTCCAAGTTACTTGGTTTGGCCAAGCAATGTGATGGCTGCCCTCCAATCAACAATATACCTACAGATTAATCAGATATGGCCTGGGGTGTGTCCCTTTGGAAGATACAGAACCTGTCCAATCAACAAGCTATGGATGGGAAGTGTAACAAACTTGTATTGTAAGAAAAATAGCTTTAAAAATAAAGAAACACTTCAATAGCATGAAATAGATACTGGACCTTCCAAATAAATGATCTAATGCTTTATAAATAACATCTCTAACAATAGCTTTGACTCAAGGTTAACATCAGTAAAAAGATATCCACACACCTATATTGTGCACTGAGAAGGGCGCCTCTATAGTATACTTGCCAAAAATAAATAACCTTATGCGTGTGTATTTAACAGTTGGGGTTCCATTGTGTTGCCCAAGCTGAACTCAAACTTCTGGGTTCAAGCAATCCCCTTCCCTCAGCCTCCTGAGTAGCTGGAACCACAGTGCACACCACTGTGCCTGGCCAAGAATGCCATTTTGATCATGAGAAATGTATGACAAACTCAAATGAAGGGACATTCAATGAAGTAACTGGCCAGTACCCTTAGAAAGGGTCAAAGTCATGAAAGAGAAAAAGCAGACTAGGTTATTATCACAGAGTGAAGGAGAATATGGAGACATGATGACTAAATGCATTGTGGGATAATGGACTGGATCCTGAACCAGAAGAAGGGCATTAGTGGAGGAACTGGATAAGATTGGTAGATTAGTTAAC